ATCTACATTCATATGACTTCTACATGTGCTAGTGTCTATTTCGCGTTAGGAGGTATCAAAGCGGAGTTTTGAATAAAAGCCTTTTGATTTTTGTTAATTCTCTTTTTATTGTACCATGTGAATGACGATAGCAGTGGAGTGCTTTGTTTCCTTCGGAAGAAAACAATCGTTAAAAGAAAAAATCAAGAAGTAGCCTAAGTAAAACTAAGGTAAAAAAATATGGACAATTATGTGTATTCGATCTAGTGCTCTCACTTGCCCCCAAAGAGCCAGAAGAAGATACCTAATGTTCAGGGTAGAAAGCCAGGGTTTGGTGCTTTGACGAACTGGCCACCGAGAGAGCACTGAAACGAAGAACCTAGCTGAGTGCTCCACCATTGGCTTGGCTTGTAGCGACTGAATCTTGTTTCTGATAGATCACCATTGATTGGTTTATTGGCAAAAGAAACCCGAAAATTCAAGATTTTTTTTCTCCGAATATTTATTATGGTGTCACTACTGCTTGTCAATTTGAATTGCATCAAAGCTCTCGTTCGAACTTCATATACGAGAATTCTAAACAGAGCCGATTTACTAAGTCAATTAGCCAGTTAAAGAACATCCCCGTCAGTGGAAACTCTTTATCCATTCAATGGAGATCCCGAAACGGAGTCCCTAGTTCACAAGCCTGTTCCATAGCTAGTCGGGGTCAATCGATTTATAGCCTCTACCTATTCATGTAAGGATTGATGATTGAGGATCCATACAGAGTTTTATGAAATATCTTAGATCAAGAAACATATGCTTTCTTCAGGAAATATGAATATGTTATGGTAAGGATAAGAAATTTTTTGACGTTGAATCGAGTCAGGAAGACCGGCATCCGGCATGCTATCTGACTCGAGTGGACCAACCCATATAATAATATCCATCTATATGCCTCTTAAATGTATGCGAAAGCTTTTTCAAGATACAATTATTTTAGATGATTAAAATCAGTGCACGAATAAAAAACCTTTAAACCATACTTTCCAAATAAATGAGAAATACATAAAGGTAAAACATTTCATGCATGCTATATGAGTAACCATAGAGTTACAACCCAAAAATAATTAAACTACTACCATCTACGGAATGTCCAATGACTTGGAATGAAATAGCCATATGAGGCAGGCCCTAGTGAATTAAAAGAATGTCACTAATAATATATTACTAGTACAAGTGTGAAATCTCACCAACAATATCAACAGAAGATATAGAGCTATTCTATCTAAGGGGCTCGTCCAGTCCTTGAAAAGAAAAAGAAAAATTTGACCAACGAGCCTATACTCCACATACCTAATATGTATCATTAATTGTTTCCCACAAAATTGGGACAAGATTTAAAGAAAACATGTTAGATGCATAAACATTGATATAAGAAAGAAGCATTCATATCAATTAATAATTTAAACAATAATATGAAACAATTAAGTAAAAATATATTTCAAAGTCATCCATTATCTTAAAAATATAATCCAAAATCGCATGAGATTTACTTCTAACAGGGAGTACTATGCTCTCACTGACACAAGATATAAGTCAACTAAGTATATACGAAGCAGCAAGTATCATATATCCTTCTTGCTCTAGTCGTCTCATCATCGTATCTTATGAATAACTTAGTCATACTAATAATGTAGCACAACAGGACCCTCTAATGGAGGCACTCTATCGTACATCTAAATCATAGGGTAGGTCCTACGCCTACACCAACATATGTAGCTTCATAGTATCACAGTAGAACTAATATGAACTTAATCTCAGTGAACTCAAGTAACTCTATAAATATTTATATTTACCAATCATAATATTTATGTCAATCCAACTGTTTGTGAGAAGTTAAATGAAAAATATTTTACAAATCGGATTAAGCCATTTGATAAAGATATTGTAAGTGTTATTTCCATTTATTTAAGTTTCAAACTTAAAACAATGTTGCATTTTCAAGAAAAAATTCAAGTAGCACTTGAATATTTATATGCAAGAGATGGTGCAATGCGAATCTTCTTGTTCTCCACAAGCTAGAGTTCACATCTAGATTTTTGTTTTACATCACTTTTTGATATGCATTTGGAGAAATATCTCCACGAGGTAATAAGTGTCAACATATCTCGGTTCATTTTTTGAATCTTACCCAAGTGTTTCACCGATTCTAATAATTTATAATGTATATATACGAGCTCACGTATATCAATAATACATCGCAGCCATAAAAATTAAGTCGACTAAGTGTCTTGCACTTAGGTCCAACAATACTAGTTTCGCATAAATCCATATTTTTACCATCTAAAATTGATTCCTGAGTTTTAACTAAATCAATCATTATATGTGTTATGAAATCTAGTTGCTTCATTAGAAATTCCAAACGACCTTATTTAAATAAACGCAACACTATTTATTTCCTCTTCCAATAAACTTTCTAATTTCATGACTACTTTTATATATGTGGACAATAACTTGCGTCGAGAAAATAAAATCAAGACCGAAAAATATTGCAACAATCGTAGTATTTTATTTTGAATATTTGAGTGTTACAATCTCTATGAATCCTCTGATTCTACTTTTTCACAATAAATAAAAGAGCTTTTGAGCTTAATCTTGAATTTTATTTTATTTTAATCCAAGTGCTTGAGGCCTGATCTTGATCTTGACGTATTTTTAATCCAAGGGCTTGCTTGCAGCTTGTTCTTGAATTTTTGTCTTGATCTTTTAATCCTTAGAACACTTGAATGCTAGTAGCTTTTAGAGAAATCTGCAGTGTTTGATCCACGAGCTCTCTCTTGCTTCTTGTTATAACTTCTGGTGTCTTTTCTGGGTTATGAAGACCCCTATTTATAGTTGTCGAAGGGAGGAGTTATGATAAGAACAAACTCTTTCTAACCAAACAAATTGAAGTGTGACATGGCCGCATTTGATTGGCCAGAACATGTCACTTGCACACGTGGCGCGATTTCATTGGCCTTTTAGTGTGACTTGGCATGCCTTGTCATTTTGACATGTGGCATGATCCTATTGGCTCTTCCGTTTGACTTGGCGCGGCATGGCATTTGACACGTGGCACCAACACTACAAAAAATTGCTTATTTTGTGGGGGTTATTTTAACAATTTGTGACGGTTTTCAACCTCTACAAAATGTATTGCGGAGGTTTTAAAAAACGCCACAGTTATGAGTGCCACGAGCAATATTGAGGTAGTTTTTTAAAACCCCCATGACGACCCCACAAATTGAATTTTTAATTTGCAGGGGTTTTCAGAGACAATTAATGGCGATTTATAACCTCCACAAAATAATACCAATGTTTAAAAAAAATTACTTGTGGGGGTTTATAATCCCCTTAATATGATCTCACTATTTAAAACAAATAATGAATTGTGGAATTAAATAAATAATTTTATTGAATAACTTATAACATAAATCAAACTTCATTACAAACAACCATAATAACAATTAACAAACATCAATTGAAATCCCCATCATCGTTACAAATAACCATAATAACAATTAACAAACACCAGTTGTTCAAATCCCTATCAAACTAAACTAATACTAACTCATGCAAGGTAACTCAAATATGTATTATTCGGAATGGAAACTTATAGTATTATGTATTTGCTTGGCGATTTATATTGTTGTCACCCAATGATACTCTTGATGTCACTCGATGATCCTCTTACTTCACAAGTAAAGTAGATTCACTGTCAAGCTGAAATAATGAAATAAAAATATTTGATGAGAAACTTGTAGGCCAGTAGCATTTCTCTGATGATATGTCAATCATAGTAGGTGAACATATCCAAAATGCTCAAATTTAGTTACAGAGAAAGGGAAAGTACGGGTTACATAAAAAAGAAACAAAATAAAAATCTTCTAGCGAATAAAGTTGTCACTTGATTTAGAAAGGGCATTATGCTGGAGTTGTTAGAAATTCACACAGTAAGAGCTTAATTACATATTTATTGCCTCGTATATCATAACAAAACTCAGTTGCACAAATACCACTGCCTTTCTAGATTTGAAAAATATTAGTGCCCAAATATAGTTAAACTCAATTGGCTAACATTAGAACTAGAATCAAACAAATAAAGTATTATAAGTTGGTAATCCAACACAATGACTAACAAAGTATAACTTGCATTAAAATCAAACCAATGCCAAAACCATTTAAAGTTAACATCAAAAAAGTGAAGTCAATTTTAACAATGTTCACGACAGCAAAATATGGTTAAACTAATTAAGTAATTTGTACCTATCCATCAATTAACTAAATCGTTAAACACGTCAAACCAGTGTCGAAATCGTTTGGACTAAATTCAAACAAAAAAAAAAGGTGCCAAAACTTGAACTGAAAAAATAGAATTTATATACTACTAGCTTACACGACATCTCATTTCTTGAGGACATAATCAAATCTTTGAAGGCATGGATTCCCCTAGTATATGTATCAGTAACGACTGCAAAAGATTATGGAACAAATTACTCTATATTACTTGACACTATATGAGGGAAAGACGGGAAAGGACTGAAAATTTAGGAGATAACTTATGTGACATCTGAACTATCGAAATTCTTTAATGTTTGGCTGATTAGTTTCTTTCAGTTGTTCTTCTTCATCAATTAACCATATCACAGTATTCTTCAAAACTACCACTTTAATGCAAATCCAAAAGTCTAGTGCTTTAAGAAAACAATATTGGTAGGCTAATTAAAATAGTTAGTACCTGTAGTTCATGTAATTGGAGTTGGAAAAGTTGCTAGCAGAATCAATTCTCACAGTAAGAATGCCAGGGATCTTTGTTGTTTCTTATATTGCAGTATCATTCTGTAAACAATAGTGTCAAGAGATAAAAGAAATTCATAGGCAATCAATTTATTTAAGCTGTGAGTTTAGACTTATATCTCACGTTTTTATTTATCTGTAGCCATATAGCAAGATGTCATTGAACTAACCATGTTCATTTGTTCTGAAGGCTACCATTTTTTCGTTTCAATCCAACTGGATTCAGTGCTGCAAATATTCTTCAATGGTTATAGCTTCCTATAATAAAAAGTATGTTACTATATAAATTAAGTCATCTCTAAAAAGAATGTCTAGCCAAAAAAGTTAATAAACATAACTTACTCCTCAATGCTATCATACAGCTCACCAGACCTTTGCACTGGTGGAGGATTTATCTTGCGATGGATGTGCATCACCTTGACATTATAAACAAAATGCAAGGCACAACAAAAAAATTATTGACCAACAAAATAAGAATCATTAAAATTTGATTTCATGTTATTAAATTCAACTATCTAAAGCAACATTAAAGAGCAGGGCAGAAAAGCCCACACTCGTAGAGCCCTTATTGCACAAGGATAGAAACAAGTTGTCTGTCAAAGGATAAGAGTGGTGGCCAGGTTGCTCCAGTAACGAATTCATAGATAAATTGCTCAAAAGTACTATTGAAATAGTTCTGGATAAACAAAGTCCAAACACATTTGTACATGTAAACAAAAATACAGATAACTCCAATCATCCTTAAAGATAAAAGATCTTCCAAATACTACCTAATACAAATACACACTACAACATTATGCATCTACAGCTACGAATTTTGTGCTACGAATAAAAAAAAGCGTGGCTATTATCTAGCAATAGCCATAAAAATTGAAATTCCCTAGCTGTTCACAATTTGGTGAAATTTCTTAGCTACAAAAAGTAAATTGGCAAAGCTAATTCCTACTTTTTGTTATAGTTGGTTAATATCGTGACAATAATTGCGAAAATAGCTACACATTTACTGCTACATTATAAATGTGTAGCTAATTGTTAGTTTTTGCCACGCATTTAATTTATTGTAGCAATAATAAATATTTAGCCACAATAAATTATGTCAAATAAAATATCGAATATATTTGCTTCAAGTTATAAAAATCGTGGCAATAATTGGCTCAATAGCTACGATAAATATCATGGCAAAATAATATAGCCACGAATTTATATAGCTACAATAAATATTGTAGCTAATTCTAAGTTTTGCTATGCATATGAAGTCACTGTAGCAATTGTAATCTTTTAGCCACGATACATTTGTTTGCACATAATACCATAGCTAAAAAAATAGTCTTGCTACAATTTTCAAAGATTGTAGCAACTGTTGGGACATATGTGCTCAGGAAAAGCCTACACGAGACAACTCAATGAAAAATTTATTTTAAAAGCTTATTAAAAATTTTGACACGCAAAGAGCATCTAAAATTATAAAACTTCATAATAGATAATTTCTTAATTGAGTTTTTCCTTATCAAGAGACATAGATACATTTGTATCTATAAAAAGAGGACAAACGTTTTACACGCCTTGCGACAATTATGAAACAAAATTATAAAGAGTAGGAAGATAAATGTTTAGTCACTAATTCATTAGTTGGAATGAATGCAAGGGACTTTGGTTGAATTTGTTAGAGTATAAATTCAAGTGTGAAATTTATTAAAATTCTTATAATCACATAGCTATTCCTAAATCAAGTGGCATGCATCGAGAATCTATTTCTATAAACAACTATTCTATGTTTAACAATATTTATTTATTAATTTAATAAAAAATTCGCCATAGTTTCCCCTGAGAATCCATCAACATAACACCTGGTAGAAAAGATCATTCAACTCAATCCAACACTATTGAATATTAATTCATATTCAATTAGAGTAATTCACCAATATAATAAAGTAATACATAAATTCTTTAAAATAATAAAGAACTAAACACCGTCTCTCAAATAAATAAGTAAAATTTTAACATTACTTGAGGATAAACAAATATGCATATAAGACTTCTAAATATTTTACAGTAATAAATCTTCATCATCAGTTTCAGGTTCTGATTCGATGTCTTCAATAATATCATCATCTAAGGTAACATTAGTGCTAATAACATCAAGATCATTTCTTCTCCAGTTCATAAAGTCTTCATCTTCATCAAATGTACCCGAGAACTCTTGAGCATTTTGTTGAAAAGTTTCTTCACTGAGAGCACCACCAGTAAAATAAGTAGAATGACCATTCAAGACAATGGAACAATTGAGATGAAGATTATCCTTGACATAAAAAACTTGTTCTGCTTGAGATGCAAGAACAAATGGTTCATTTGTTGCTAGCTTTCGTTTAGTATTGACACTAACAAAGCCATGTTTATCTATCTTCACTCCTTTTCCAATGTGATCAACATCCAACCAATCACACTTAAATAAAACAATCCGTTTACCTTCAAGATATTGAAGTTCTACTATTTCGGTCAAAGTACCATAATAATTTATATTTTGGCCATTCATTATTCCTCGTACTAAAACACAACTATTTTGCTTCACCCTATTTCCTTCGAGTTGTTTAGTATGAAATCTAAAATCATTTATCTCATTCCCTTTGAATTTTTGGACTCCATCAAAAGGACCTCTAGCCAAAGAATACAACTTGCAACTTACTTGTGAATTTCTTTCTTGCGCATTTGCACAATCTGTATAATAATAAATAAATAAAATAATGATGCTAAAGAAGTATTACAAATAAAAATTAACAAAGTAATGAAAACTTACTCAATGGAAAAATCAATCATCGAAGTTCATGTTCCTATTATTCTACTCATACTCAGTCACGTACTCACTGTTTAAAATAACCATAATAATTGAGAAAAGGCTAACAAAATTAAGCAGAAATGTACAATGGCATAAAGAAACATACCGTAAAAATGGTTGAACTTCTTCACAATTTCTCAAAACATAAAGATGAGCTTGTTTTCGCTCAAGCTCTTCAAGATTTCTGGATGTATCTCCTAATAAAATGGCAACCCTTTGTTCAAAAATTGATAATCTACTGAATGGCTCAACCTGATCACCTTCACAAATTTTGTCCACCGGATTATCTCTTTCCCACTTCCATGTAAATACCTTGAACAAAATATCACACTTTCTTCAACAATATATCCTTCTGCAATAGTATATAAACTAATCAATACATACTCAAAATGCTCCCGGATCATCCAAAATCCGATCCGAGCATACGCCCAACTCCGAAATCATCATGCGAACCTATTGGAACCGTCAAATCTCGATTCCTAGGTCGTTTACTCAAAATATTGACCAAAGTCAAACTCAGCCTTTTTAGCTAACCTTAAGGAACTACTTGTTCCGATTTCAACCCGAACCCTTCCAAATCCCGAACTAACCATCCCTGCAAGTCATAAAATAATAAAATCACATAGGGGAGTCTTATTTAGGAGATCGGAGTTCTAGAAAGCAAAACGACCGGTCTGGTCCCTAAATGAGAGTTTAAGTTTTAGAAATTGGACCGTAGTCGGAGCAGTGTGAAAACGACCTCAGGATGGAATTCCGTTGGTTCTATTAGCTCCGTTGGGTGATTTCGAGGATACCGAGAGATCTCCAGCATAGATATCGAGGATACTAAGAGATCCTTGGGATACTGAGAGATCCCCGGCACACATATTGAGGATACTAAGAGATCCTCGGGATACTGAGAGATCCCCGGTACACATATTGAGGATACTAAGAGATCCTCGGGATACTAAGAGATCCCCGATTGTTATCTCTATGTTGAGTTGTACTCCTTTCCGTGATTATTTTGTGTCTGTTATAGTTGTTGTTGTTCTTTCTATTATGTATTATTTCTTACTATTGCACTTAATTATGGTGTCTTATTCTACATTGTTATACCTTATATTTTATTTAATCTCAGTAGGGACCTGACTTTTCTCGTCACTACCCGACCGATGTTAGGCTTGGCACTTACTGAGTACCACTGTGGTGTACTCATTCTCTTTCTGCGCATGTTTTTCATGTGCAGATCCAGGTACTTCGACTCAGTCCTATCACCCTTGAGGCGAGGTATTTTCATAGAGACTTCGAGGTATATCTGCCGTGTCTGCAGACTGAAGAGTCCCTTTCTATTCGCAGTATTAATATAGCCATTCTGTATTTTCATTTTGATAGACATTCTAGAGTTAGAGCTTTTATGTATCTCTTAGCTTATGATTCATGGGGTTCCGTATTTTGGGAGTGTTAGGTTGAGATTTTGTATTGTTAAATGTCAGGCGGCATCTTAAACACTGTTTCTTTTTGTTATATCAGATTTTAATTATTTTCCTTTCGCAACTGTTTTCGTTTCCGCATTTGTTAGGCTTATCTAGTCGTAGATACTAGGTGCCATCACGATAGTTCACGGAGGGCGAACTGGGGTCGTGACACTTTCACAATAGACAAAATTATAATTTAAGTTACTTTCATAATATTTAGGACTTTGAAATTAATTTAAATTTTACATATTAAATATTTTCTTATTAATCTACAATTAACTATATTTGTGTCTTCTTGAATGAACTTGAGAATAACTTTTGATTTTTTTTTTTAGAAAATTCTTAAATCATCAAGGGTTGTGTGTTTTTACTAATGTCATGACCCAAAATCCATTAAAGGGTCGTGATGGCGCCGGACATCACTGTCAGAAAAGTCAATACATACTCAAAACGCTCCCGGGTCATTCAAAACCTGATCCGAACATACGCCCAAGTCTGAAATCATCATACGAACCTGTTGGAACCTTCAAATCCTGATTCCGAGGTCGTTTCCTCAAAAATCCAATCTTAGTCAATTCTTCCAACTTAAGGTTTCCGAAATAAGAATTCTCTTTTCAAATCGACTCCGAACTTCCCGAAATTCAATTCCGATCACGCGTACGAGTCATAATACCTGAAATGAAGCTGCTCATGGCCTAAAACCGCAGATCAACGCGCTAGAGCTCAAAACGACCGGTCGGGTCGTTACAACTAAAACTAAAAAGAAAGCACGATCACTTGTAAAGTTGAATTGATAAAATTATAATTATATGGTTCGAAATGTCATTCGCCTTTTTTACCCTTTAAAAATTATAATTGTAACTATATTAAAAGCACGAAGGCCCTTAGTGAAATGTCGTTCGCTTTTTTTACTCTTTAAAAATATATTTTACTAGGATAATATTGTATTTTAACTATTCTCCTAATATTTAAAAAATTTAAATTAACTAAAATTTTGGTTATAATATTTTTTCATATTTGAACTATACAAAACTACTTATATTTAAAACTTTCAAAATTTATTATAAATACACCACTTCGACTCTTCTAGATCTTTTTACCTAACTAATAATCGTGCTCTAACATTTAC